TCTTTCTACTATAATATTCGTAAAATATATTAATAAAAAGACAAGTATATTTATCAAAATGGTTGGGCCTAAAAATTTTCTTTACTTAATAAATACATTCTTTACATAGTACAACATTATTTGTACAAAAAGACTCTCAAAAACAGTGGACAGTGTAGCCAAGTCTCCCCGCTTGCCAACGTCCATCCGACCACGACCTCACCTATGTCCTGTAACACATAGAAAACAACGGAGTGAGCACAAAGATACTCAATAAGTAAATCTTCTACTCTATAATCCCCGTGCATTACTCATCAATTCTTTTCGTACTCTTGTCACTTTCTCTAATTCAATCTCTCTTGTTCTTTCTCTACTTCTAGTTCTCAGTATTCTTTTCTTTCTTTCTATTCTCATTACCCATGGAGAATATCATAACCATGCATGGATGAGACACTAAAGCAAAACAATGCATTTTCTTCCTTTTCTTTTCTTTCTATTCTATTCTTCTCTTATTTTTAGTCTTATTCTTTCTTATTCTTTGCCGATTGGTCTTGGTCGATGCATGGATTCGAAACCCTTGACCATGTGAGTGTACTCTATCTCGTGTATAGCTCTCATCCGCATGTATTCTCACGGCTATACAAATTCTTTTTCTCATTCTCATTCCGCTCTCTCATGGCGGAGACCGCTCTATCTCATGGCGGTTTACATACGGGTAACTCTACACTCACGGGTTCCCCATCGCACAACCTATTTTCTTTTCTTTTCTGTAGCACTTAATATTCATTTCATTCTCTAGTGCTAATTCTTTCTTTCTCTTTATTCTAAGAAAATTAGTTCTTTTCTTTATCTCTATTCTTAGAGTGTTTCTTTCTCATTTCTCATATTTCTTTCTTATATGATTACTCAATTAAACATATGCATATGGATGGCTCATGCCTAGAATCTTTCTTATATGCATTCATGAAATGCAAATATGCCATGTTGCATAAAGTAAGTTTCTCTACTTCTACTCATGCTTCGTTTAGGCATTTCATCAAACAATATGTGTGCATACATAAACTCTATTCTAACTTTAATTATATTTCTTTCTTAACCATCCAAAATTGGAGTTCAACCCCTTCACATTATCACACATCCTGCAAAGAAAACACACTTCAAATATTCCTCTCAAATTCTTTTAATTCTATCCATATTTCTACCACAATTTATCAACACATTCCACCCTTCTCATGGTGAAAATTTCTTCATAAATCAACATTAAACTCATTCATAAATTCATCAACTCATTTCAAACATAAAAATCCAAGCATTAATCATATATAAAGCTCTACACATCATTCAATCATGCAAATCACAACTTAGGTGGATTTACTTACCTTAGGCTCAAGTAGAATCCACTTAAGCTCTCTACTCTTGATGGCTTGATACTTTCTCTTAAACCTTCAACACAAACTCAATAAGGATCCTACTCTTTCAACAATAAAATTCACATCTAGAGTAAGGATTCTCACCTTTAAGTGCTTAGGATCAACTTGTATCAATTTCTAGTCAAAAGCTCTTCAAAGATCCTTGGAAAATTGAATGAAAGTTTGAGAGAATTGAAGGATGAAAGAGGTGGTGGAGAAGAATGAATGAAAGGGTTTCTAAAGCTAAACCCTTAATATCTCATATTTTCTCCACTCTTTCCCAATATACCCTTACTCCTTATTTGAAATTCCACCTATGCCCTTTAATTCTTTGCAAAAACATCCCCATTCACACTATTCTCCATGCAATTTCCTTGCATTTCACTCCCCACTTTTCCTGCTAATTAAGGGTAGAATGGTCATTGAGTCCCAAAAGGAAGAATTCTCTAAAAACTCAAGGGAATTTTAGCCGAGTCTTCGTCACGGCGAAGCTATTTCTTCGCCCCGGCGAAAACTCACAGTAGCTACACGGGGGATGTAGCACTTCATCGTCACGGCGAAGAAGAATCGTCGCGGCGAAGAAGAATCGTCGTGGCGAAGCTTCTTCTTCGCCCCGGCGAAGATTGTAACATCAAGATTTCGCCAAGTCTTACCAATTTTCAGGGCAACCACTCAACCAAACCGATACACCCTTTCAACCAAGGGTCAACCAAACAATATTAACAACATACACACTCAAATGAGGATAAATCAATAAACATTCAAGCCATTCATCAAATCTTAACTACGTATCTCAAGTGGGGTGTTACAAAATAATATTGGGGCTACGGACGTTTCTAGAATGGCCACCATATGTGATCATAGGGTTCTCAATATCAAGATTTGAAACACTTAATACCTTTGTCACAGTTCTACCATCCTAAGGACATATATCATTACATACACAATACAGAAGAATATGCGTTTTATTGATAAATAAAAATTTATTACAGAGTCAATTTTACAGTAATTGATTGGCTCTAGGGCACCTACTCTAACAATCTCTCACTTGCACTATAGCCAATCATTCATGTATTTAATACCAAATGACCTTAAGTGTTTTTCATGCTTCTGCTGCGACAGAGGCTTCGTTAGTGGATCGGCGAGATTGTCATCAGCATGCACTTTACTGATCTGTACATCTTTCCTCTCAACCATTTCTCTAATGGGATGAAAACATCTGAGTATGTGTCTGGACTTCTGGTGAGACCGTGGTTCCTTTGCTTGAGCAATTGCTCCATTTTTGTCACAATATACATCTATCGGATCAATAATCGTGGAAACCACAACAAGTTCAGTGGCAAACTTCTTAAACCAGACTACCCTTTTGGCTGCATCGGATAATACAATATACTTAGCCTCCATTGTAGAGTCCATACAGTGCTTTACTTGGAGCTCTTCCAGCTCACTGCACCCCCATTGAGACAAAATACAGACCCTAATTGCGATAGATAATCATCTTTATCCGTTTGGAAACTAGCATCACTGTATCCTTTTACAGTGAGCTCATCTTCCCTTCTATAAACCAAGAACATGTCCTTAGTCCTCTTCAGATACTTAAGGATGTTCTTGATAGCTATCCAGTGACGCTCACCTGGATCCGATTGATATCTACTACAAGTGCTTAACGCACATAAGACATTAATCCGAGTACATAACATGGCATACATGATAGATCCAATTGCTGACGCATATGGAATCCTCTTCATTCTATCTCTCTCATCGTGTGTTTTAGGACACATATCCTTAGAGAGATAGACACCATGTGACATCAGAGAAATCCCTTCTTGGATTCTTCCATACTGAATCGCTTTAGTACCTTGTCAATGTATGTACTCTGACTTAGGCCAAGCAAGCTACATGATCGATCTCGGTAGATCTTTATTCTGAGGATATAAGCTGCTTCTCCTAAGTCTTTCATGGAAAAGCACTTGGATAACCAAGTATTTATCGACTGCAAGTTCGGTATATCATTCCCAATTAGAAGTATGTCGTCGACATACAACACTAGGAATGCCACTGCGCTCCCACTCACTTTCTTGTAAACACAGGGCTTATCTTCGTTCTTGATAAAACCAAATTCTTTTACGGCTTCATCAAAACGAATGTTCCAGCTCCTTGAAGCTTGCTTGAGTCTATAAATGGATCTCTACAACTTGCATACCTTCTCAACTTGCCCATCAAGAACAAAACCATCGGGTTGTGTCATATACACATCCTCTTCAAGGTTCCATTCAAGAAAGTCATTTTGACATCCATTTGCCAAATCTCATAATCATGATATACAGTAATCGCAAGCATAATTTGGATGGATTTAATCATGGCAATCGGCGAAAAGGTTTCCTCATAGTCAATACCATGAACTTGCTTGAAACCTTTGGCAACCAGTTGTGCTTTATAAGTGTGCACCTTGCCATCCATGTCAGTCTTCTTCTTGAAGACCCATTTAAACCCTATGGGTTTTACCCCTTCAGGTGGTTCCACCAGAGACCATACTTGGTTCTAGTACATGGAGTCCATCTCAGATTTCATGGCTTCTAACCGCTTTTTTTTGTGGCGTCTTGGAATCACCACGCTCGCAGCGCCTGATGATGAATCCTTAGAATTTTTTGTCTTTGGCAGTGGACAATAAGCCCGTTCATGTCCTTTTTGTTTACAAGACCAGTAAACCGTTACTTTCTTCTGAGTTTTATGTTTTTCCTTCTTAGAAGTAACCTCCTTTTCAAAAGTAATTTCCTTCGTATAAGTACCCTTCAAGCGTTGAAAGTTTGGGTTTCTTCTTTCCAAAGTATCAGAGTCATAGTCTTGACTCTTTCCTTCTTTAATCTGCTTTGCTGCAGTAACATGCTTAGGAGTAGAGATCACTTGCTTATCCGTAATTTTCTCCCTTTTAGCTATACCCCTTGGAGCCGAAGTTATCATCAAGGGACAATTCCTTCTCAAGTGTCCTCGTTGTTTACACTTGGAACATGAGAAGTGATTTCCAGTTTCCTTCTTGTCCACCATTATCCTGTAATTCTTTAGAGAAGTGTCTAGACAAACAGTCAGCAACAAAGTTAGATTTACCAGAAATATATTCAAATTTTATTCTATAATTTGCGAACCAAATCTGCCATCTGATTAGTCTAGCTTTGTCATCCTCTAAAGACATTTTCATAAAAGTTTTTAAATATTTAGAGTCTGTCCTTAAAGTAAATTCCTTACTAATTATGAACAATCGAAATCAGTCTATACATTCTTTCGCTGCTAAAACTTCCTTTTCATGAATAGGATAGTTTATCTCAACAGGAGAGAATTTTCCTGACGCATATCGAAAAATCCGTTCAATATTATCAATACCCTTAGCCTTAAGCACACCTCCCCAATACAAGTGGGACGCATCGCTTTCTATAATAAGTGCATCCTTATCTTCCAGGAGTTTTAAAGGTTTTAATTACTTTGTCAAGGCTTTGGTCTGCTTAACACATTTAGTATCTTCAAGTGTCCAAACCCAGGGCACTTTATCACTAACATTAAGCGTCAAGCCATTAATTACATTAGCGAGATTAGGAACATACTCGCGCATGCAATTGGCTAATGCAAGACATTGCTGTGACATGGCTTATCTTCCAGCACATCTGGAAATTCCAGCAACTTCTTTGAGAAATGTTCTTGGAGTTGAATACCTCCTTCACCTATCTCGACGCCTAAGAACGTCACCTTGTTCGTAAACCATTCTACCTTTCTTTCAGATAGCATCATTCCATTATCACAGAACCTTTTGATCACCAGTCTAAAATGATTTACATGTTCTTCTTTGGTCTTACTAAAAACCAAAACATCATCAATATAGACTATACAAAAGTTAGATAAGTCTCTAAAGACTTTATCCATTTTCCTCTGGAATATTGATGGTGCCTACTTAAGCCCAAAAGGCATAACCATCCATTCAAACAATCCTTTCAGACAGGTGAAAGCTGTCAAAGGAATGCTTGACTTCTTCATTCTAATCTGCCAAAATCCTGACTTTAGATCGAATTTTGAGAAGATTTTTCTAAATCTAGCTGTATTCAAACAAGCTGATTTGTTTGGTATCTTATAGGCATCATCAATAGTTTTATCATTTAATTGCCTCTAATCAATAACCATCCACGCTTTTCCTCTTTCTCGCTCAGCTCTATTTATGATCATGAATGCTAGCGAAGAGTGTGGGCTTTCACTAGCGCGTAGTAATTGCTTTTCCAGCAATTTCGATATTTGCTTGCTAAATTCCTCCTCTACATCAGGAGTATAAGGATACGATTTGGTAGTTATTGTATCATCATCCTTCCTTAATTTAAGCAAAACATATATACCATTCCTTTCCCATAGCTTTAACGGTTGATCATCAAAGAATGGAGAAAGCTCCTCTTTAAAGGATTTTACAAGTTCCTCAATCCTTAAAGAGTGCTTTTGGCTCTTGCTTTCAACCTTTAAGATTATCTCCTTATGTGTTGATTTATCCATGCTCTTAGGGCATGCACCAGAGGGACCAACCTCCGGCGATATACCTCGTGCGATCTGGTTGATATGATGTAACGCCCCGCTTGAGGTACGTTGTTATTGTTTCCTCTTTCGCCCTCATTTGAGTTGTTTTTGGTAATATTGTTTGATTTTCATTAGTATGAGTGTTGTGTGGATTAATTGCCTTGAAATGGGTTAATAATGGAAGAAGTGTAGTATGCCGAGCTTCGCCGGGGCGAAGAAGAATCTTCGCCGCGGCGAAGATGTGTTGAAACCACAGGAAACTCTCTGGACGGTTTCGCCGCGGCGACATAAGTTTCTTCGCCGCGGCGACGGGCCGATTTTCATGTTGGTTGAGTATTTTAGATATTTTTTCCCTAAGGGCAATTTGACCTTTCTACCCCTAATTAGCAAAAAGTGGGAGTTAATTGTAAGGATTTTTCATGGAGAATATGTTGTTTTGGGGGGTGAGTTGTAATGAATCAAAGGATATAGATGGAATTTCCAAAGAAGGTAGGGCAAAATGGGAATGCTTTGTTATATTTCATTAAAAGGAATTAGGATCAGAAAAACCCCTCATTTTCTTCTTCTCAACGCAACTTCCCATCTCCACTCCTCCCAACTTTTCTTCTCTTTTGATCAAGGAATTCCAAGGGGTTTTTGAAGTGATTTGAGGTAGAAAAGCAACCAAGGCTTCCTAGTAAGAATCTCTACTTAAGTTGTGTGATTTGGGAGTTTTAACCCATATGAAGTTTGAGGTTTTTTCTTTCTTTGGTTAGATTAGAGGGAAAGTCAAGCTAACAAGTGAAGGAAGAATTTGTGAAGTCTCTCCATACAAAGTAAGTAAAACCCACCCAGTTGAGATTCATGAAATTCCTTGATTAGGGTTTTGATAGAAATGATGTATGTATGTGATGTCATGTAATATGCCATGTATGGAGTATTAATGGAGATTTCTATGCTTTGTGAATGTTAATACCTTGCAAATATGAGAAATGGGTTGTTGGGTTGGCAAGGTAGTTTGAAATGGAATTGAAGGGTGTTATGGAACCCTATTTGGAAGTGCTTTCTTTGACAGGTTTTATGACTTTGTGAAGGGGTTTTTCCCCATTTTGGATGGTAGAAAAAGTTTTAGAATCATTGCTATAATAGAGTTTTATGTGCACATGATTTGTTTGAGAATGCCTAATAGGGTTTGAGTGTGAGTAGTAAACCTAATTCTTGCAACATTGCATGTTGGCATTTCATATGTGCATGTTAAGATGAACCATCCATAGCACTAATTGTGCATTGAAAAGTGATCTAAGAAGTATAAGGAAATTGTGTATGCAATTACCCAGTAGTAGAGAACTTGTGGGTATAACTACTCTAAGGTAGAGAGCATTGAAAAATGCTACATAAATGAATTAGAAGAGTAGTATAGTTGGGATGTTCTTTGTGTCATCACCCGACCGTTATGGGAATCGGATTGATGCTTTGTGAATTTCACCCGAATAGCCCTTAGAGATGGGTCGTATCTTTGTGTCGTCACCCAATGATAATAGAATGGGTGAGATGCTTTGTGATCACTACCCATTAGTTATTAGATAAGTGGTTTGATGCTTTGTGATCATCATCCAATAGTTAGTAGAAGCGGGTTGATGCTTTGTGATCATCCCCCGATAGTGACTAGAGAGGGTAAATGCTTGGTGAACGTTACCCAAAATTCATGAGGAACGGGTAGGTGCTAGGTATCTCCCCCCGATAGTTAAGAAGAATCGAGTTGTGCTTTGTGATCCTCACTTGGTAGTCACTAGAACGGGTTGGTACTTTGTGAATTCCACCCGATGCCATAGAGAGCGAGATGTGCTGTGTGAACGCCATCCGGCCGTACCTCCGGTAAATGAGGACATGAGTTTAGTAGAAACAGATAGAATCAGATAGTATAGGAAAGAATAAAGTTATTCTTACGAGGACAGACAACAAGAGTTTTACTTACTGAGCATTATTTGTGCTCACCCCGTTATTTTCCTTTGTGGATGCAGGTTCTAGGTGATGACAGTCGGAGGGGCGTCGGCAAGCGAAGAGAATAGCTACACTGTTTTCCCCTGTTTTGTCTTTTAAAATGCACTTTTGTAAACAGTATATTTTTGTATAAAAGACATATGATTTCTAATGAAAAAAACTTTGGGCCCAATTTTACATTGTTATTATGCTGCATTGCACTAGTTTTCAGTAGATTTACATATGATAGCTAGGGTATATCTCTGAAAGAAAACATTACAAGCCTCATTGTAACACCTACTGAAAAACTAGTACAATACATGCAATTAACAATAAAATTGGGCCCAAATATTTCTTTTCATTACATTCACACGTCTTTTATCACAAGTTACTGTTTACAAAAGTGCATTTTAAAAGACAAAAGGGGAACAGTGTAGCTATTGCTCCTCGCGCGCCGACGCCCCTCCAACCGCATCATCACCTAGAACCTGCATCCACAAGGAATAACGGGGTGAGCACAAATAATTTCAGTAAGTAAAACTCTCTAACTGTCTGTCCCCGTGTGTGACTCTTAATTCTTTCCTTTTCTAATTCTGTTTCTATTTCTGCTTCTCTTTCTGTTTCTATAACATCATGGCCTCATCTTACCGAGGTACGGCCGAATGGCGTTCACACAGCACCATCTCTTCTCTATGGCTATCGGTGGAATTCACACGTACCAACCCATTCTTAGTGACTACCGAGTAGGATCACAAACCACCAACTCGGTTCCTCCTAACTCGGGTGGAGATCACCTAGCACCTACTCGTTCCTCATGAATTTTGGGTAACGATCACCAAGCATTTACCCGTCCTAGTCACTATCGGGGATGATCACAAAGCATCAACCCGCTTCTACTAGCCATTGGATGATGATCACAAAGCATCACCCATCTCTAGGCTATTCGGATGTGTTCACAAAGCATCAATCCGATTCCCATAACGGTCGGTGATGATCACAAAGCATCATCCCAACTATACCACTCTTCTAACTCATTCTATTGTAGCATTTTTCATGCTCTCTACCCTTAGATAATTTTACCCACTAAGCTCTCTACTCATAGGTATTTTCTAAACACAAAGTTTCCTACTCTTTCTTAGGTCACTCTTCAATGCATTAACATGCACATGGATGATTCTCTACTAATGCACTTGTGAAATGCCAACATGCAATGTTGCAAGAATTAAGGTTCATACCCACACTCAACCTCTATTAGGCATTCATCAAACAACTCATGTGCACTATAAAACTCTATATACCATGATCTAAAACTTTTCCTAACCATCCAAAATGGGAAAAACCCCTTCACAAAGTCATATAACCTGTCAAATAAAACACTTCCAAAAGGGTTCCATAACACCCCTTCAAATCCGTCTCAACTACCTGTCAAACCACAACCCATTTCTCATATTTGCAAAGTAATAACATTCACAAAGCATAGAAATTTCTATTTAATCCTTCATACATGCCTTATTACATGTATATCCATACATACATCAAACTATCAAAACCCTAATCAAGAAATTTCATAAATCTCAACTTGGGTTGGGTTTTACTTACTTGCTATGGAGAGACTTCACCAAATCTTCTTTCCACTTGGTTTCTTGGCTATTCTCTCTACTTAACCAAAAGAATGAAAACCCTCAAAAACCAAAATGAACTAAAATCTACATATCACACAACTTAAGGAGAATCCTTACCTTAGGAAACCTTAGGTTGCTTTCTATACCCCCAAATCACTTCAAAACCCTTGAAATTCCTTGACCAAAGAAAGAGAAATTGAGAGGAGAAGAAATGAAGAGTCACGTTTGAGAAGAGAAATGAGGGGTTCTTTGATTCAATTCCTTTTAATGAATATTACACACTCATTCCATTTTGCCCTTGTTCTTTTTGGGAATTCCATCCATATCCTTTGATTCATTACAAACTCACCCCCATATCACATATCTCCATGTAAAATCCTTACATTCACTCCCCACTTTCCTGCTATAGGGGTAGAAGGGTCAAATTGTCCTTAGGGAAGAAATGTCTAACTCAACCAACATGAAATTCGGCCCGTCGCCGCGGCGAAGAAACATTTGTCGCCGCGGCGAAACTGTCCAGAGAGTTTCACCCTTGGTTCCACCCATCTTCGCCGCGGCGAGATTCTTCTTCGCCCCGGCGAAGCTTGGTACACTCAAATTCTTCTATTTTCAACCAATTTCAGGCAACAATCAACATAACATTCACAAACAAATAACAAAAACCAACTCGATTAGGGCGAAAGAGGAAACAATAACAACTACCTCAAGCGGGGCGTTACAATTCTCCCCCCTTAAAAGATTTCGTCCCCGAAATTCAAACAATAACTCTGGGAAACGATTCTGCATGTCCCGTTCTACTTCCCATTGGCTTCTTCCACTTTATGATTCCTCCAAAGGACTTTCACTAGCGACCACTCTTGTTCCGAGATCCTTAACCTCGGTCTAAAATCTGAACTGGACGTTCTTCATATACTAGATTCTCTGCTACTTCAACGTCTTCTATGCTCGATGTGGAGGGGATCACTACGTACTTTCGTAGCATCGAGCATGGAGATCGTGCACCCTATCCAGCTATTGTAAAGCCAATCTGTAGGCCACCTTTTCTACTCGTTGCAAGATCTCAAAAGGACCTACATACCTCGGTGCTAACTTCCTTTGGTTCCAAACGCATAACTCGCTTGTAAGGGGAAACTTTCAGAACACTTTGTCGCCCACTTGGAATTCTACCTCTTTCCTCTTCAAATCGCATACTCTTCTGTCGATCTTGGGCTTGTTTCATTCTGTTTCGATTAACCTCACATCTTCTACTAGTTTCTGAGTCATCTCTGGCCCAAGAGCGGTACTCAACCATCTCTCCTCCTACTTCATCCCATGAAGCGGAGACCTACACCGTCTACCATACAAAGCCTCGTAAGGCGCCATTCTAATTGTAGACTGATAAATTGTTGTAGGCAAATT